TACATAAACACATGATAATTGATCCTTCTTATCTAGCCATGATTGAATTGTCCCCCAATCCTCCTCCTCACCTATGATCGCCTCGCGAATAAGTGGTCCAATTGGTATCAACTCCTTATTTCCTATGGTAGAAACATAATCTATATACTTTCCCTCAATCTCCCTACAAGTGTTCAACAAAACAATGTTATGAGATTGTTCAAAAGACTTAAGGAACATGTATCCAAAAGCTTTCTCATCGCGTGGTTTTATCGGTTGTATGTCTAATTTCTTGATCTCATAGTCATGAAGGTATATGGAAGAAAATGGAAAAGATGGAAGGCTTGAACTCCCATAAAGAAATTGGTGATAGAAATAAGCAAGATTAGAAGTTGAAGTAACACAAAACATAATAGCATGAATATTACATGATGAAGCCATAGTTGCTACCCATGGTTGGAACCCATCATATATAATCAGGTTAGGTTTTAGGGTTTCAATTATGCTTGGAAATTTGGAAGAAGCCATTTGGAAGGCATGAATAAGCGTGGAGTTAAGATGGGGAGGGAGGTCTTTAGTTGTATGGTAGTGAGGAGGTAACTCATGCAAATAAGGCAAGTGAAATTCAACAAGTTGTATGGAGAGATTATTATAAGATGAGTTTTTTTTATCTAGGGTTTCCTTGATAGTTTTGAGAATAATTTGTGTTGAAAGAAAATATATGTGAAAATTCATTTTCGATAATTTCTTGGCTAGTGCCAAATAGGGACTTACATGGCCAAAACCTAACCATGGAAATAAAAGGATACTAGGACTATTTTCCTTAATTCTCTCCATGAATGGAATAATTATGGAAAAATTTATAAAGCATATATCATAGTTTTATAGGGTAGAAAAAGTTTAGCTATATGGACTTTTCATTTAATTTTTTATGTTTACTAGTCGATTGCCATTTACGTGCACGAATTAATCTCATTTTTTAATGGATGGTTACCTATGTACATTACTGTAGCAACAATCAATTAACGATAATAGCTTAATTGTAAAAATTATTAGTGACAATTACATTTTAGTACTGTTTTGTAAATGTCCATAAAGTGTATAGCAACATTGGATCTAATTGCATTTAACTAATGTCAGTAATGAGTTTAGCATTCTTTATTAATGTACATATTTATTGTCGATAAAAATTGTTTTTGTTATAATGAAACTACTGTTATCGATAAACCCATCTCATAATCTTATATTATTAGCGTATAAAAGTTGAACTTAAAAGAAAACAGGTAATTTTGAATGTTCACTAAGAGGATTTTTTTCGAGTAATTAACATAGAACGAACAGGGAAATTAAATTAAAATTATTAGATATGGTGGATCTTTTGGATTTTGACAGATTTAACGTACTAAGTATAATAAAATGAACATTTAAAAACATGGTACATTTATAAAATTAAATATTCAAACTAATACAATCTAATCATATCGATGGGATGCACTAATTAAATGAAGATATCATCCTCAAGTAGCAAATCAGAGACTAAAAAACAACAGCTATTGATGTGAGGTCAAAAATATATTTTTTTAATCATTATTTGCCTTATATTTATTATTTATATTTGTCTTTTTTTAGCATTAATTATATGGATTGTGCTAATTAGTGTATTTTATTTGTAGGAGTAAATTAACGTAAAGTTAAAAAAGTTTAGAGCTAAAACGAAGTAAAGATGGAAGGTTGAAGAAGAAAATCAAACAGACAGCTTAATGAAATAAATTTAATATAATAATGTATAAGGAAAAGGTGCAGCAATAGCGAAATTGAAGATTACTGCTGCTGCTGCCACGTGGCAGCCGATAACGGGACTCAATTATTTTATTTAGGGTTTACTATATCTATAAATAGTCCATAGAAATAATTATGGGAGGTATCAAGAGTAAGGAGGAGGCACTTTTGAAGAGAAAGTCGTCAATACTTTTTAGGGTTCTTTTCTTCTTGTTGTTTTCTTAGACATTAGTAACTAAAGCTCTTGTTCTGGGGCTATAGCTACGGATTCAATGTTGATTATTTGAGGCTTTATGAATTGAATTTCGGTTGTCAATCCAAATTACTTCTATATTCTTGTTTTACTATTTTATGCTTGCGCACCATAAAAAAAAATCTAGTGTCTAATCTTAAAATCGAACGAGGAGAGATTAGATAGACCAGAGAACATAGAGAGCTCGGTCCACCCATTAGATTGAGGTGATTAGTGTTCAGGAGTGACGCCCAGACGAACACCTTGCTTGGTTACGAAATAAGATGAAATATAAATGTTCGCCAGTTAGTTTATCTATCCCCACTCAACGATGTAGTTAGATGGCTAACTGAGGTAGGCGGCGAGAGGTGAACCACCCGGACCATACTATCAACCCTATAAACTAGTAATTTGACAACTGAAGTGAATTCTAAGCCAAAAATATGATACATGAAATCCAATACATGCTGCATCCCTGAGATTTTTCAACTATTGTAAGTAATTTTATTATTTTGTTCTTGCATTCTTCTTTTTTGGTTCTCTTAACTAAATAAATTAGATCAGTATAATTTAGTAAAAATAGTTAATTGACAAGTCCTTTGGGTTCGATAATCTGGTTCTTTTAAGAGCCACTATATTACTTGCGCGACCGCGTACACTTGCGTGTGCAATTGGGAGCAACAAATTTTTGAGCTATGTTATAGTTTCTATGGTGGAAACAACCCTAAATTGGATAATTGAGATCATGAGTATGATCTAGGGTTCATAGAATTGTTAGTAATTCGGGTAATTAGTGATTGTTTATTGATTCCCCTATTATATTGATTGTTTGTAGATCAAGAACAAGAAGAACGAATTTGGAAAGGGAAGGATCAAGTTTCTTAGGGTTTCAAGCTTGTTTCGAGATAGGTGATGGTTGTGATTCTATAATTGTGTGATGTATGTTTGTTTTTGCTTCATTATGATACTTGTATATGTATGAATATTGTAATGTTGATCACACTTGTTGTAAATGAGATAGATGAATGATGATTTCCATGAAATCATAACTTAAATGTATGATCTTGATGATATACTTGTGATTGTGACTGTGGTGTGTTGAATGGATCAGTTACCACGTTCCAGCATAACTAACTTGGATGAGTTTCCACGTTTCAGCATAACTATGGGATCGATTGCGACGTTCCGACATAATTATGGGATCAGATACCACGTTTCGATATGCTAACTTTTTGGGTTTGGGTCCCATGAGAGGACCAATGATTTGATATAACATGTGAAGTTGTTCGTTGTTCGTAAATGTTGATATATATACATGTGATTATAATGTTGTCTTGACTTGCTTATGTTGCACTTAGTGGGATAGCCGTGTGATCCTACCAGTACACTGTAGTTGTGTACTGATACTGCACTTTCTCTTATTTTTGTTGCAAGGCATCTTCACGCGGCTACTGACAGACCTCGCTTAGGAGATCAGTGATCGTTTGAATTCAAAGGTGAGCCAATTCTTCCGGGCTGCCATGGGTTCTCTTTCATCTATGTCCACCATTTTTGGACTTAGACTATATTCTATTAGTTATTAGTACATTAGTTGGGGGTTGCATCCCTTCTTGTTTAGACTTGGTTCATTGTTAGATGTTTTGGTACATTGACTTTCAGGTTCTAGGTTATTTCTTCCGCATTGTTAGTTCGTTGTTAGACTTTTGTTGGAGTTTATGGGAACTCCCTCTTTATTTCCTTAGTATTTAACTTGCTTCCGTAACTTAAATGCCTTAGTTTTTGTTTAGTTGCTTGGTTTGGGTTGTAGTAGTGGTTCTCCCACCGGAGAGTTAGTGTGGGTGCCAATCACAACGGTCTAGGTCGTGACAAGATCCATTTAAATTATATACTTGTTATAATAATATAAACAACAAAGATGTCAACTATTTTTATTTTTTTAAACTATCAAATAAAGCAATTAAGTGTACCCAAGCTAATATTTTTCAAGAAAAAAAAATTAAGATTGACGGAAATATGCGGACTTCCTGACCTTTTACCCGCCAAACTTCTTCAGGAGTAATTTCGCACATGCTTTCTCCAAATTCTGAAGTAATCTCCAAAAATAGATCAAACTTAAAAACATCATTGAGTTCTAAATAATAATTCAACTAAAGAACATGATAATACATTTTTTTTAAAAAACTTATTTGGAGGTTTTCAAATAATTATAAAAATATATTTACTCGGATTCTTCAAAAGTGTCGAATTCTTTAAAATTAGTATAATTTTAAAAATCCAATACAAGTACGAGGTTTGACGGGCAAAAAAGTCGGGAAGTCCGCATATTCCCGCCAATCTTATTTCTTTTCTGAAAATATTAGCTAAGGTACACTTAATTTCTTTATTTGATAGTTTAAAAAAATAAAAATAGTTGACGGGTTTATTGTTTTTATTATTAAGATGAATATATTTTAAATGGATCTCAACCATAAATTATTATATAATACACATAGCATGAATCTATGAGGCCATTGAACATTATTTGACCTAATTATACTTGACCGGATTTATCCGATAATGTCTTGTTTATGTCTGAAATAATTTAAGCTTTGTATATATTTTACAGTATTTCGATTAAGAGGTATAATCCTCTCTAAATACACAATGCAGCAAGGAAAATAGTTCAACTAAAGTTTGAACTCATATAAGACAATATGATCTTAAGAAACCTATCTCTAGATTACATCATTCAATACAATTTGTATATTAAATTCTCTTATTTCAATCTTTAATAATATCTAAATACTTATGGTGTCCAAATTCAATCCAATTCATCATCATCATTCTCTTATAAGTCAACATAATAGCTTCAACAACTTTTTAACCCCTTCATCAATAGCTTTCTCCCCTTTCAATTTTATCTTCTCACTCAATTCCATTGCCTTTAAATTAACTTGTTTCCTAGTCTTATCCTCTACCACCCTCTTTATTCCTTTTGCCACCTCTTCTTTCATTATTTCCCCATTTTCACCTCTCAATATCTCCACCCCTATGCCAAGTTCCTCCACTAATCTTGAATTCAATGGTTGATCATGATTCATAGGCATGGCTATTATTGGTATGCCAAAACTCATGCTTTCTAACATCGAATTCCATCCACAATGAGTAACGAAACCTCCAATGCTTGAATGGTTCAAAATTTGACTTTGTGGTACCCATCCTTCAATAACCATCCCTTTCCACTTTGTACTTTCAAGAAAACCCTGTGGAACCATTTCTTCTATTGTTGTGTTCACCCCTTTTGGAAATTTGATTGTCCAAATAAAATTAACTTTGCTTAGCTCAAGCCCTTTTGCTATCTCTTCGATTTCTTGCTTTGACAAGAAGCTTTCACTTCCAAATGATACATAAACACATGATAGTTGATCCTTCTTGTCTAGCCATGATTGAATTGTCCCCCAATCCTCCTCCTCACCTATGGTCACCTCGCAAATTAATGGTCCAATTGGTATCAACTCCTTCTTTCCTATTGTAGATATATAATCTATATACTTCCCCTCAATCTCCCTACAAGTGTTCAACAAAACAATGTTGTGAGATTGTTCAAAAGACTTAAGGATTATGTATGCAAAAGCTTTCTCATCGCGTGGTTTTATCGGTTGTATGTCTAATTTCTTGATCTCATAGTCATGAAGGTATATGGAAGAAAATGGAAAAGATGGAAGGCTTGAACTCCCATAAAGAAATTGGTGGTAGAAATAAGCCAGATTAGAAGTTGAACAAACACAAAACATAATAGCATGAATATTACATGATGAAGCCATAGTTGCTACCCATGGTTGGAACCCATCATATATAATCAAGTTAGGTTTTAGGGTTTCAATTATGCTTGGAAATTTGGAAGAAGACATTTGGAAGGCATGAATAAGAGTTGAGTTAAGATGGGGAGGGAGGTCTTTAGTTGTATGGTAGTGAGGAGGTAACTCATGCAAATAAGGCAAGTGAAATTCAACAAGTTGTATGGAGAGATTATTATAAGATGAGTTTTTTTTATCTAGGGTTTCCTTGATAGATTTGAGAATAATTGGTGTTGAAAGAAAATATATGTGAAAATTCATTTTCGATAATTTCTTGGCTAGTGCCAAATAGGGACTTACATGGCCAAAACCTAACCATGGAAATAAAAGGATACTAGGACTATTTTCCTTAATTCTCTCCATGAATGGAATAATTATGGAAAAATTTATAAAGCATATATCATAGTTTTATAGGTTAGAAAAAGCTTAGCTATATGGACTTTTCATTTGTGATGTTCACTAGTCGATTGGCATTTACCTGCACGAATTAATCTCATTTTTAATGTATGGTTATCTATGTACATTACTTTAGCAACAATAATAGCTTAATTGTAAGAATTATCAGTGACAATTACATTTTAGTACTCTTTTATAAATGTCCATAAAACGTATAGCAACATTGAATCTAATTGCATTTAACTTATGTCACTAATGGTTTTAGCATTCTTTATTAATGTACATATGTCTTGCCGATAAAGGTTGTGTTTGTTATAATGAAACTATAGTTATCGTTAAACTCGTCTCATATTCTTATATTGTTAGCGTATAAAAGTTGAAATTAAAAGAAAACAGGTAATTTTGAATGTTCACTAAGAGCATTTTTTTCGTGTAATTAACATAGAACCAAAATGATTAAAGTAATTCCGTATGGTAACCAATAGGCAAATTAAACTAAAATTATTAGATATGGTGGATCTTTATTTTGACAGATTTAGCGTACTAACTACTAAGTATACAATTATAAAAATAAATATTCAAACAAATATAATCTAATTATATAGGTGGGATGCGCTAATTATTTGATTTAAAAATGAAGCAATAGTTTTTATTTTGTCACTGTCTGTGACGTACTACATAAAAAATTTATATTTGTCATTATCAGAAAATATTTATGGTCACTAAGTATTAAATATAGTATCTAGCTATAGATTTTTAAAAAAGTGATTGCCTTTTCATAAAGAGTCTGATAATAGGTGCAATAATATCATATATGAAATTATTAAGAAGATCAGATCTTTTCTAGTAAAATTTTACTATATTAGAAAGGACAGTTTCAACGTGTTAGTTTTCTGGTATTAAATTAAACTTTAAGGATATTAAAATCTTTTTAAAAAATTTGCAGGATAAACTTTCTTTAAAAAGTTGTATATTTTGCATTGTTATTTAATCCTAAGTCAATAACTCTTAAAAAGGTCCTCCTTTTTCTATTCAACTACAGACTATCATTCAAGAATATGATTGGTCCCACTTTCATTTTTTTTTAATTATTCATTATTTAAAAATAAATTTCATTTTGATTGTCATTTTTCATATAAATATTTTTTTTTTAAATCACATTTTATCTATCGTATTAATTAAATATTAAATATCAATTAATAGAAATAGTGTAATAAAATAATTATATCAATTATTTTTTAATAAATATGACAAGTAAAAATGAACGAACATGCTATATAATAAAAAGAGATTGTAGAAAGGATAAATAATGACAGAATTAAGGAAAATGTTATCATCTTATTGACTGAGATTTTTATGGGAAATTAATTCATATTCTCTAATTGTAATTAATAAAGTAAATAAGTGGATCATTTATTTACTCTTATATTAAAAAATTAAAAAAATTGTTTTACTTTTTTATTTTAATAAATTAAGAAAATTAATTATTTTTACCTGACTTTATCATTATCGTTAAGTAATTATATAAAATACTAATAGTCAAATTAAAATTTTCAAAATATAATTAATAAAATAAATAAGGCATCTTCCCCTATGCTTAATATATATATATATTCTTATTATATAAGAGAGAGTTCACATTGAAGCAAGCACGTCTCTATCAACGTGTCCTGCTTCAGCATGTTTCAAAAAAAAAATTAAAAAAATTATTTCTTTTGTTTTATTATAATTTAATTAGTGTATAATATTTTTGAAATTATGAGATCCGTTTTAGCTATGACTTTTAGTTTTGAATTCATATTATTTAGTTATAGTTTTATTATTTTTAATGTCGGTAATATTTGTTTATATCTTGTATCTACTTTGAGTAAAAAATTAACGATTGATGAGAAAAATACTTTAATTATGGACATCTTAATGGACCTCTTCACATTAAATTTGCGCAAACAAAAAGTAATTAACAACTTAAGGACCCCTTCACATTAAATTTGAGCAAACAAAAAACAATTAACAACTTAAAAAATCTAAAAATTACATTAATTTTATTTATATAACATTAATTAAAATTAAAAAATAATAGATATTGGGCCCGTGCTAGCACGGGCACCTATCTCTAGTATATAAAGAGAGATTACTTTAAATTTTGGTGTTTAAAATGATAATTTTATATTAGGAAAAGTTAACCTCTTACATGAAAATTATATAAATTATAGATGATAGTATTTTTATTATTATTATATTTTGTAAAACGTGGTACATGATGTCTAACCTCTTCGAAGAAACTTAAGTTGGTGGACACAACTATTGTGCTATAGAATTTTCTACATTTGTAATATTTACATTAGAATTCCATAAAAAAAAAAATCCTTGCATCTTAAGGGTGTCACGATCCAGATCGTCGTGATTGGCACTCATACTAACCCTCCGGTGGGAGAACCATTACTACAACCCAAATAAGCAAACTAACCCAAAAGCTAACATTTAAAAGGTACGGAAGCAAGTTTAAATGCAGAAATTATATAGAATTCCCATAAACTCCAAAGGTTTAAATAAATAACTAACCAAACTAATGCGGAAGTTTAACCCCTAGAACCTGAAAGTCATTGTACCAAAACATCTAAAGTGCAACAAGTCTAAGAAAAAGGGGTACAACCCCAACTAACATGAGAAATATCCAAATAGTCTAAGTTCGAAGAAAATGGACTAGACCAGGGGCGGATCTACGTGGACAGGTGGGGGTGCCACGGCACCCAGTGATCTCGGAAAAAACGTCGTTTATATATGTATAAATTCGTAATAATTCAATATATATTACTTTTGCCACCCAGTGACTAAAATGCGGAACAGCTCAATTGGCGAAGGAGTTGGTCTACCACACAGCCAACGCCGGTTCGAACCTCACTGCCAACAATTATTTTTTTGCTTGCTCCTTTACTTCTTTACTTTTCTTTTTTGTCTTTTTCATTAGTATGTAAAGGGCTTAAATTTTTTTTTTCTCCATTCATTCTTATTTATTTACTATTCTTTATTAATTCAAATTGACTCATTTTCATGATTATTAATTCAAATATTTTTTAAATCATCAGTATATACTTCTTAAAATCTCATTTCTCTCTCTTTATAGAATAAGTATCAAGGAATGGATGGAGTAGGAGGGACAGTTTGTGCAGGCACAGGCTATTATTTGAAGAAAGAAGCATTATATAGTACTCCAATTAACCAAGATGATATGACTACACTTTTTCTAAAAGCTCAATCAGAATACAAGTGGGAATCTCAATTGTATCAATCAGGTTTTCATCTTATTAATTTACACATAATTGTGGTTATTTTTTTTTAAGGGAAAAAGGACAAATATACTCCCAAACTATCGTAAATGATATGCAGATACCATTCGTCATACTTTTGGATGACATTTGATGTCCATGTCGTCCAAAAACTAGAGCATATGTACCCTTTATACTAACGGACATACACGTCATAATCTTATCCACCGACCCGACATTTATTAAATATTGGATCGACAGATAAGTTTGTGTCACATGTCCCTTTTTAGTCTTCCGTTAGAATGAAGGGTATATATGCTCTAGTTTTTGGATGGCAGAAGCACCAATGTCCCAAAAGTATGACAGAGGATATCTACATACTATTTACGATAGTTCGGAATATATTTGTCCTTTTTCCTCTCTTTTTTAAGCATATAATTCTATGAACATTTTATTTATTAATCAAATATATTTGATTCATAGAGGAGTCACTTCAAGAGGCAGAAGAAAAGTTTGGTGCTTCTAGAAAGTTCATCAATTCTATTAACTCTTTGAATGATCAAAGAAATGGAAGGGAGAATGTTCTATGTGATGAGACGATTGATGAAGCTAAAACTCTTGCTTCTTGCACATTTGAAGAAAATACAAGATGGGGTAAAGAAGTAAGTATCATCCTATTATTACTAGTCCATATATATTTTTAGGGAGGTTAAATAAGCAGGTTGAACTGAATTAAAACGGTTAAAATGAGTTGAGTTAAGAGAATAAATAAACAAGTCATTAACTCATTCAAGATTAAAATGAGCCGAGTCAAGATGGAGTAAATAATGAATCATAATCAAACCTGATAACTCTTTTTATGTTTAATTATATCAAACAGAACTAACAAAACTCTTTTTTCTTTATTATGGTCATATATAACACATCAAATAAAAAAAAATTGCTTAGCCCAATTTTTGGATTGACTAAATTGAGTGGGTCAAAAGAGCTAAATTAGCTGAACGATTTGTTAGACAATCCAAACTTGGACGGTTTAGATGTGTCATATATTCATGAGCTTGTTTTGCCACTTCAATTAATACTTTTGTATTTGTGTCTGTTAAATTATGTAATTATTTCATCTAAAAGCTTAAACTGTTGTTTCAGATAGGGTACTCATACAACAGTTTACTAGAGAGCTCATACACAGGTTATCTCTTGCATTCTAAGGGGTGGAAATCAGTATATCTTTATCCAAAGAGGCCATGCTTCCTTGGTTGTAGCACCATTGATATGAAAGATGCTTTGGTCCAACTAATGAAGTGCGCTTCTGGGCTAGTACAAGTTGGGCTTTCAAAATACAGCCCACTAACTTATGGGCTCATGTCAAAAATGCCTTTAGTCCAAAATATGTGTTATGGATACTTCATCTTCTCACATTTTCTCTCCATTCCTTGCTTCCTTTATGGCATTGTTCCACCTTTGTGCTTCTTGATGGGCACTCCAGTGTTTCCCAAGGTAAAAACTTAATTTTATCACTTATATATAAGTATCTTTTCAAGTATAATATCATTAAAAATATGTTTGAAAATTCCGGTTTTGCAAGTCGAAATGGACATATGAGTGATTGATTACAAGAGAAAGAAAAGTCGATCCAAAAGGCTTGATGGAAATTTCCTTGAACTATAGTGGTGATTAATGAAATTTCTAGTTTATTTTCTTGTTTAATCATCTGGTATCCGAAATTTATTGGTGTGGTTTAAGTCAGATCATGTTGCATAGGGGCCCATTAAGGAGGAAACATTCCCTATAAGAAAATTTTACATTCCTAAGACTCGAATTCCAGACCTTTGATTAAAATGAATTTTATCTATCCCGACAAATCTTTAGTGATATACTAATTCGAAATTAAATTAGAATTAGTGCCAGTCGTGTGAGACACAAAATAATTATTTTTTGAAAAATTCATATACATGACTCACTCAATTGTCCTTATTTATTTACAGGTGACAAGCCCATGGTTTGCACTATTCACAACCATATTCTTATCATCTTTGGCTCAACATTTATATGAAGGGCCCGTTTGGCCATAGATTTCCCAAGTAAAACTTGGGAAAAAATTTGGCAAATATTGTTTGTCCATACACTTTCTCATTATTTGGCAAATTTTTTTGGCAAATAACCCAAATTCTCAAATACTAGTTTTTTCTAGTATTTGGGCCAAATCTCATTATTTGGAAAGTTTTAAAAATTCAAATTTAACACCAAACTTTTATCTTTTACAAAAACACTTTATTTATTAACACCAACCAACTCAATCAAATCTCCATCTGCTAACTAACTCAATTAATAAAATTTTCTATTATAAAGAGCATACATGTACAAGAGCATACATTGCAATATTTATTTCCTTCTGTTTTCTTCTTCTTTTTCAAATTCATATTAGTTGTATTTTCATTATCATGATTTGTACTAGTCTTTTTTAACGATGCGACTATTTACTGTAATGATGCTTTTTGATTGTTGCGGAAGTCATGAATCTTGTTACGCGACATTTCTATTTTGCTATGTAATACAAATTTATGGTTAGTTTTGATAGTTTTAAAAACTTATGGGCATAAGTCATATTTCTTAAAAAATTGAAATATATTTCCCAAATACTATGGCCAAACACATGGTGAAATTTCACCCAAATCTTCACCCAAATAATATTTGCCAAATATATTTGGAAATCTATGGCCAAACGCTAGCGAAGTCTTGTCTAGTGGAGGCAACTTAAGGACATGGTGGAATGAACAAAGAATTTGGATAATAAAAACAGTCACAGCTTGCTTATTTGGATGCTTAGATGTTTTAATGAAGTGGCTAGGTGTTGCAAAGGCAAATTTCAGGTTAACAAACAAAGCCATAGATGAAGAGAAATTAAGGAAATATGAAAAGGGTAAATTTGATTTCCAAGGTGCTAAGTTGTTTATGGTTCCTTTGACATTTTTAGTGGTGTTTAATTTGGTATGTTTCATATTTGGAATGAAAAGATTGGTCTTAGAGAGGAACTTTGAGGAGATGTTTGGACAAGGTTTCCTTTCTTTTTATGTCTTGGTTCTTAGTTATCCTATATTAGAGGGTTTAGTAGTATCAAAGAAAGACAAGTAAAATATGTTTTCTTGGTTATATACAAGAAAGCAAATTTGTGTATATCATGTATAAATAATGTTGGTACAATAATACAAATGTTTTATGCTTTCAACTTCTTGCATTATTAACTCATGTACATCCGAGCTTTCATCTTGATTCATAATAAAGAAAAACAGGAATTAAAGGCACGTATTTCTTGATTTTTTTAGAATTTTGAAGGACATCAATCTTTTGTTGTGTAGAAGTACATCTCTCTTTTTAATTTCCATAAAGAGAAAAAATATAGTCCACTTGGATGGAAGAGGAGACCATATTTTATTTTACCTGTGCCAAAAACTGTGCCCTTTTCTCTTTCGAGAAAATGCGTCCTCTTTTTTTTTTTTTCGAAAGGTAACTTGTCTTTAATTTTTCTTTTTCAAAATTACAAATTCTACTATTAAAAAGAATACCTTTAAATATTGTCGGAGTGGTGATCTGGTTGTGTGTAATTTTTTTATTTTTTTACGTAATGTCAAAGTTAATAGGCTCTATTGGACTAGAGGGAGTTGCTTGGATGGTAAACACTCCTCACTTCCAACCCGAAGGTTGCGAGTTCGAGTCACCAAGGGAGCAAAAGGGATGGGAGCTCCTAGCCTCCTAGGGAGGGTAAAATAGGCTCTATTGATGAATATGTCCTGTCTTAGCCCACTAATATCTTTCTCTTTGGGAAATAATAGATCAATCATCATGTGACATGTTTATATATGTATAACTAACCATTATTTGGCCAAATATTGCTCCGATTAATATAGATGTGTGTTGAGTAGTACTTATAAAGGGAAAAGATTAAGTTTTTCTATTTTTCAGGAATCGAGTTCGAAATCTTTGGAAAAGAAAAAGGAATATAATCTCCTTCATCCCAAAATACTCCTTGATGGTGAATTTTAACTTTAAAGTATCTTGTTCATGTCTGAAATAATTTAAGCATTATATGTATTTCTCAAGTATTTCAACTTATAATAGGTATTAATCCTCTCTAGAGTTTGAATTCATACAAGACAATATGATCATAAGAAGCTAATTATTTCTAGCTAAATTACAACATTCGATATTCGTTGTATATAAAATTCTTTTATTTGAATCTTTAGTATCTAAAAATACTTATACTCCTTGTTTGGATGGTTGTTGCATGTTGTATTGTATTGTTAGTCTAAATACAAAGTTTCTTTTGATTGTTACTTGAATTCTATTGTATCGTATTGATCGCTTAAATTATGGAGATGTGATATTATGTAAATCTATCCAAACTTTGTATTCATTAAAACAATACAATACGAAATAATACAATACAATATATTATGAAACAATACATAAGGTTTCAACTCATGTAGTGTCCAAATCCAATTCAATCATCCATCATTCCCTTATAAATCAACACAAAAGCTTCAACAACTTTTTAACCCCTTCATCAATAGCTTTCTCCCCTTTGAATTTTATCTTTTCACTCAATTCCATTGCCTTTAAATTAACTTGTTTCCTAGTCTTATCCTCTACCACCCTCTTTATTCCTTTTGCCACCTCTTCTTTCATTATTTCCCCATTTTCACCTCTCAATATCTCCACCCCTATGCCAAGTTCCTCCACTAATCTTGAATTCAATGGTTGATCATGATTCATAGGCATGGCTATTATTGGTATGCCAAAACTCATGCTTTCTAACATCGAATTCCATCCACAATGAGTAACGAAACCTCCAATGCTTGAATGGTTCAAAATTTGACTTTGTTGTACCCATCCTTCAATAACCATTCCTTTTCCCTTTGTACTTTCAAGAAAACCTTGTGTAACCATTTTTTCTATTGTAGTGTTCACCCCTTTTGAAAATTTGATTGTCCAAATAAAGCTAACTTTGCTTAGCTCAGGCCCTTTTGCTATCTCTTCAATTTCTTGCTTTGACAAGAAGACTTCACTTCCAAATGATACATAAACACATGATAAACGATCCTTCTTATCTAGCCAGGATTGAATTGTCCCCCAATTCTCCTCCTCACCTATGGTCGCCTCGCGAATAAGTGGTCCAATTGGTATCAACTCCTTCTTTCCTATGGTAGAAACATAATCTATATACTTTCCCTCAATCTCCCTACAAGTGTTCAAAAAAACAATATAGTGAGATTGTTCAAAGGATTTAAGTACCACGTATGCAAAGGCTTTCTCATCGCGTGGTTTTATTGGTTTTATATCTAATTTCTTGATCTCATAGTCATGAAGATACAATGAAGAAAAAGGCAAAGATGTAAGGTTTGAAGTCCCATGAAGAAATTGGTGGTAAAGGTAGACAAGACCAGAAGTTGAAGAAACATAAAACATAATAGCATGAATATTGCATGATGAAGCCATAGTTGCTACCCATGGTTGGAACCCATCATATATAATCAAGTTAGGTTTTAGGGTTTCAATTATGCTTGGAAATTTGGAAGAAGCCATTTGAAAGGCTTGAATAAGAGTGGAATTAAGATGGGGAGGGAGGTCATTAGTTGTATGGTAATGAGGAGGTAACTCATGCAAATAAGGCAAGTGAAATTCAACAAGTTGTATGGAGAGATTATTATAAGATGAGTTTTTTTTATCTAGGGTTTCCTTGATAGATTTGAGAATAATTGGTGTTGAAAGAAAATATATGTGAAAATTCATTTTCGATAATTTCTTGGCTAGTGCCAAATAGGGACTTACATGGCCAAAACCTAACCATGGAAATAAAAGGATACTAGGACTATTTTCCTTAATTCTCTCCATGAATGGAATAATTATGGAAAAATTTATAAAGCATATATCATAGTTTTATAGGTTAGAAAAAGCTTAGCTATATGGACTTTTCATTTATGATGTTCACTAGTCGATTGGCATTTACCTGCACGAATTAATCTCATTTTTAATGGATGGTTATCTATGTACATTACTTTAGCAACAATAATAGCTTAATTGTAAGAATTATCAGTGACAATTACATTTTAGTACTCTTTTATAAATGTCCATAAAACGTATAGCAACATTGAATCTAATTGCATTTAATTTATGTCACTAATGGTTTTAGCATTCTTTATTAATGTACATATGTCTTGCCGATAAAGGTTGTGTTTGTTATAATGAAACTATAGTTATCGTTAAACTCGTCTCATATTCTTATATTGTTAGCGTATAAAAGTTGAAATTAAAAGAAAACAGGTAATTTTGAATGTTCACTAAGAGCATTTTTTTCGTGTAATTAACATAGAACCAAAATGATTAAAGTAATTCCGTATGGTAACCAATAGGCAAATTAAACTAAAATTATTAGATATGGTGGATCTTTATTTTGACAGATTTAGCGTACTAACTACTAAGTATACAATTATAAAAATAAATATTCAAACAAATATAATCTAATTATATAGGTGGGATGCGCTAATTATTTGATTTAAAAATGAAGCAATAGTTTTTATTTTGTCACTGTCTGTGACGTACTACATAAAAAATTTATATTTGTCATTATCAGAAAATATTTATGGTCACTAAGTATTAAATATAGTATCTAGCTATAGATTTTAAAAAAGTGATTGCCTTTTCATAAAGAGTCTGATAATAGGTGCAATAATATCATATATGAAATTATTAAGAAGATCAGATCTTTTCTAGTAAAATTTTACTATATTAGAAAGGACAGTTTCAACGTGTTAGTTTTCTGGTATTAAATTAAACTTTAAGGATATTAAAATCTTTTTAAAAAATTTGCAGGATAAACTTTCTTTAAAAAGTTGTATATTTTGCATTGTTATTTAATCCTAAGTCAATAACTCTTAAAAAGGTCCTCCTTTTTCTATTCAACTACAGACTATCATTCAAGAATATGATTGGTCCCACTTTCATTTTTTTTAATTATTCATTATTTAAAAATAAATTTCATTTTGATTGTCATTTTTCATATAAATATTTTTTTTTAAATCACATTTTATCTATCGTATTAATTAAATATTAAATATCAATTAATAGAAATAGTGTAATAAAATAATTATATCAATTATTTTTTAATAAATATGACAAGTAAAAATGAACGAACATGCTATATAATAAAAAGAGATTGTAGAAAGGATAAATAATGACAGAATTAAGGAAAATGTTATCATCTTATTGACTGAGATTTTTATGGGAAATTAATTCATATTCTCTAATTGTAATTAATAAAGTAAATAAGTGGATCATTTATTTACTCTTATATTAAAAAATTAAAAAAATTGTTTTACTTTTTTATTTTAATAAATTAAGAAAATTAATTATTTTTACCTGACTTTATCATTATCGTTAAGTAATTATATAAAATACTAATAGTCAAATTAAAATTTTCAAAATATAATTAATAAAATAAATAAGGCATCTTCCCCTATGCTTAATATATATATATTCTTATTATATAAGAGAGAGTTCACATTGAAGCAAGCACGTCTCTATCAACGTGTCCTGCTTCAGCATGTTTCAAAAAAAAAAATTAAAAAAATTATTTCTTTTGTTTTATTATAATTTAATTAGTGTATAATATTTTTGAAATTATGAGATCCGTTTTAGCTATGACTTTTAGTTTTGAATTCATATTATTTAGTTATAGTTTTATTATTTTTAATGTCGGTAATATTTGTTTATATCTTGTATCTACTTTGAGTAAAAAATTAACGATTGATGAGAAAAATACTTTAATTATGGACATCTTAATGGACCTCTTCACATTAAATTTGCGCAAACAAAAAGTAATTAACAACTTAAGGACCCCTTCACATTAAATTTGAGCAAACAAAAAACAATTAACAACTTAAAAAATCTAAAAATTACATTAATTTTATTTATATAACATTAATTAAAATTAAAAAATAATAGATATTGGGCCCGTGCTAGCACGGGCACCTATCTCTAGTATATAAAGAGAGATTACTTTAAATTTTGGTGTTTAAAATGATAATTTTATATTAGGAAAAGTTAACCTCTTACATGAAAATTATATAAATTATAGATGATAGTATTTTTATTATTATTATATTTTGTAAAACGTGGTACATGATGTCTAACCTCTTCGAAGAAACTTAAGTTGGTGGACACAACTATTGTGCTATAGAATTTTCTACATTTGTAATATTTACATTAGAATTCCATAAAAAAAAAATCCTTGCATCTTAAGGGTGTCACGATCCAGATCATCGTGATTGGCACTCATACTAACCCTCCGGTGGGAGAACCATTACTACAACCCAAATAAGCAAACTAACCCAAAAGCTAACATTTAAAAGGTACGGAAGCAAGTTTAAATGCAGAAATTATATAGAATTCCCATAAACTCCAGAGGTTTAAATAAATAACTAACCAAACTAATGCGGAAGTTTAACCCCTAGAACCTGAAAGTCATTGTATCAAAACATCTAAAGTGCAACAAGTCTAAGAAAAAGGGGTACAACCCCAACTAACATGAGAAATATCCAAATAGTTTAAGTTCGAAGAAAATGGACTAGACCAGGGGCGGATCTACGTGGACGGGTGGGGGTGCCACGGCACCCAGTGATCTCGGAAAAAACGTCGTTTATATATGTATAAATTCGTAATAATTCAATATATATTACTTTTGCCACCCAGTGACTGAAATGCGGAACAGCTCAATTGGCGAAGGAGTTGGTCTACCACACAGCCAACGTTGGTTCGAACCTCACTGCCAACACTTATTTTTTTGCTTGCTCCTTTAGTTCTTTACTTTTCTTTTTTGTCTTTTTCATTAGTATGTAAAGGGCTTAAAAAAAAAAATCTCCATTCATTCTTATTTATTTACTATTCTTTATTAATTCAGATTGACTCATTTTCATGATTAATTTTTAGTTCTTCTTTTTTGTCTTTTTCATTAGTATGTAAAGGGCTTAATTTTATTTTTCTCCATTCATTCTTATTTATTTACTATTCTTTATTTATTCAAATTGACTCTTTTTCATGATTAATTTTTTTTTTTTACTTTCTCTTGCACTAATTATTAATCTCTTGATATGGGTGTTACATGTTTATTTTTATCAATTAATGAGTACTGAATTATGAACGTCAAATAAATATTATTAAGAATATATTTAAATAGTAGTTTTTTAAAATATGTTTTAAAAATGATGAATATTATTATTAGAGCTTTTTTAATTTATTTTTTTAAAGGTTCTTTCACATCTTCACCGACTTTCTTGCTAAGTAAGATGACTAGGCTGAAACTACAATTTTTATTCTTCCCCTACTATATATCTCCAACAACACATAAAGTCAATGTAATATGAATATATTATGTTAATACTATTAGATGGTTTATACAAGCTCAAATTTTAATGTGAAAAATCTTTTTTTTCTCAAAGTTTCAGCGAATAAGACATCTAATTCCAAAAAGGGAAAAAAATTGAATTGTTTAGTTATCTCTAATCTCAAAATATCTAAAAGAAAATATTACTAACATGAATATTTGATCGATTTGTTTATAAAAATAAAAAATATCAGTAACCTGAATTGTAACCCAAATTAAAGTAACCGATCCTTTTATCTTACTTGAACGTTGTGGCACCCACGACCTCCAAATCCTAGATCTGCCCCTGGACTAGACAATAGGAAGGACTCCATGGCGGCCTAAAAGAACTGGCTCACCCTTGAAATTCGGTCTCGATCACTAATCTCTTAGCCAAGGTCTATCAATAGCCGCCTGAAGATGCCCTGTACTAAACAAAGAACGAGCAAGTGCAGTATCAGTACACAACCACAGTGTACTGGTAGGATCATACGGCTACTCCCATAAGCACAATATACAACGAACAATCATAATACAATAAGCACACATATACATAATACAATTCAGTTATCATTCCAGAACAACATATAGTCTTCCATTATCAATGACAAGTAGACATAAGCATTACAATCACAAGTGGTTCTCTCAAGGAACCCACCCCCAAACTGATAGTGAGGCGGAACGTGACACCCGATCCAATGCAAATGTCGAAACATGTGTCGAAACTTGACACTCGATCCAATTTATGTGTCGAAACGTGACACCATATCCAATCAGCACAACCACAATCACAATCACATCCATAATGAACAATACTCAAATCATACAATCAAGTAAACAAGTTCATGGCATGTATTGTTCACACATAATAATTTCATTAGGTTCGATTCACATTCTCTTATGCACATACACGCATGCATACAATTTATAAATCAATCGACATATATCATACAAACAGGAAATCAAACCATCATTTACTTCGAAACCAAGCTTGAATACCCTAAGGCACTTGAATCTTCCCTTTCCGGATTCTTTCTGCTTATTCTAGGTCTACAAACAATTAATATACGCCAAGGATCAATACATTAAGGTCTAATTATCCGGATTATAACAAAATTATCTGGATTATAACAAACCCAATAACCCAAGACCAACCCATGATCCTAAAGTGCAGCTAGGGCTTTTTCTCACCATCAACTTCAGGCCAAAACCCTCCCCCAACAATAATTACCCATGAATCTAAGTTCTACAGATCGAAAAATGGATTAAGGGAGTAAAATCCCTATCTTTAGCACCAAAATTCTTGGAAAATAGTCAAGAACTCATCTTGGGTCATCTCCTAACTCTTAAGAACAAAGTTTGCAGAATAATAATGAAATTGAGATTTTTCCCCAACTTAATTCGCGACTGGTCCACTGAGATAACCCCCATCCCGCCACAGCAGCCCCGCCCTGGCGGGATTAATCTCGCCCTAGAGGCTTACACGAA